TCCTAACAACAAAAATCTTTATTTACTCTGTGTCACTTTATGCTACTATCCCATCCATTTTTTTCTCCTTCAAAGCCTAACACTTAATCTTTTCTCTACTGAAAGCATGGCATTCTTTTTCATTTTTTTGATCAAATTGGTTCATGTATACTGTTGACAAAGGCAAATAATCCTGTTACACTTAAAACCATGGTGATATTGAAAATGTTTAATAATTGGTTGGATGTACATACTGACGAGTCAGTTAAGATCACCAATCAATTATCCTTGCTTATAACATATAATACCCTTATCACAGCCCTCCTTAACTCTGATTCTCTGTCCAGCGACAATCACTTTCTTTTTCTTTTTTCTGATATTTTCTGTTGTTGTTTTTATTTGTTTGTTTGGAATTTATTGTTGGAATAAAGTTGACATACAATATTGTATTGATTTCAGATGTACAACATAGTGACTCAATAATTATATATATTACTAGATGCTTGCCATGGTATGTGTAGTTGCCACCTATTACCATAGCATATCACAGTATTATTGGTTATATTCTCTATGTTGTACTTCCATTCTATGACTTATTTAACAAATTGTAGTTTATGCCTCTTTATTCCCTTCACCATTTTTTGTTTGTTTATTCTGTTTTTTTAGATTCCACATATAAGTGAAATCACATGGGATTTGTCTTTTTCTGCCTGGCTTTTTTCTCTTAGCGTAATACCCTCTAGGTCCATCCATGTTGTTGCAGATGGCAAGGTTTCTTTCTTTTTTATGGCAGAATAATATTCCATTGTGTATATGTACTGTATCTTCTTTATTCATCTATCAGTGGGCACCTGGGTTGCTTCCATATCTTGGCTATTGTAAATAATACAGCAATAAACATAGGGATGCGCATATATATTTTTGAATTAGTTTTTTTGTTTTCCTTGGGTAAATACCCAGAAGTGGAATTGGTGGGTCATATGGTATTTCTATTTCTGGTTTTTTGAGGAACCTCCATACTGTTTTCCACAGTGGCTGTGGACCAATTTACATTCACACCTACAGTGCAGGAGGGTTCCCTTTTCTCCACAACGTCGCCAACAGTTACTTATGTTTTGGATAGTGAGCATTCTTGCTGGTATGAAATAATATCTCATTGTGGTTTTGACTTGCATTTCCCTGATGATTAGTGATGTGGAGCATCTTTTCATGTGTATGTCTCCTTTGGAAAAATGTCTGTTCAGGTCCTCTGTCCATTTTTTAATTGGATTATTTGTTTTTTTTGGTGTTGAGGTATGTGAGTTATTTATGTAGTTTGAATATTGGCTGCTTATTAGATATATCATTTGCAAATATATTCTTCCATACAGTAGGTTACCTTTTTTTGTTGAGAGTTTCCTTGCTGTGCAGAAGCTTTTTAGTTTGATGTAATCCTATTTGTTTATTTTTGCTTTTGTTTCAGGGACAACCACTTTCAAATCTTTGCTTTTTCTTCAGCTATTTACAATGGATTCCATAATAACCTTTTCATACAACCATTTCTTTCACTAGTCTTCTGTTTTTTTAGGTACTCCATCTTCTTCAGAGCTACTAGGTGCTCCAATCCCTAAGCTTTTCTGTGGTTCTGTGGGGTGAATGTGCTTTGTTCTTATGGCCTTACTCATAAGGCATGGGTTTCAGTTCTCCATGGTCTGCTAAATCTGTTTTACCACCAGGCCATATGCTTTCCAGCTTTCAATATTTTGATAATATCTCAAGTCTGTAGTCCTACCCATTCTCTCTGGCCTTACTGGTTGTGCCTTTTTAAAAAATTCTTTTACTCTCACTTTAATGGGGCTGGAGAGGAAGCAGAGATGTTATTTTTGTAAGCCTGTGTTCAGACTCCCAAATCTAAGCACAAGATCAATAAAAAAGGTTAGCCTATACTTCTGCTTTTGTTTCTTCACTTCCCATTCTGGCCTCAACTCACCAATTTTGTGTTAACCCTCAGTTAAAACTATTTCTTCAAAGGGTCCCATGATCTTTGTTCATCAAAATCAGTGGTCTTTTTTCGGCCTTCATCCTCTGACGCTCTCTGCACCATTAGACACTCATAGCAACATCCGTCTGACTGGGAAGCGAAGACTCTTCTGCTTACCCCACATCTGCAACTCTTTAAATGTCAACTCTCCTCAATGTTCTATCTTTATTGGGCTTTTTTCTTTTCCTTCCTTCCCTCCCTCCTTCCTTCCTTCTTTCTCTCTCTGTCTGCTTTTCTTCCTTCCTTTCTTTTCTCTCTCTCTCTCTTTTTCTTTCTTCCTTCCTTCCTTCCTTCCTTCCTTCCTTCCTTCCTTCCTTCCTTTCTTCCTTTCTTTCTTTCTTTTTTTCTTTTCTTTCTTTCTTTCTTTCTTTCTTTCTTTCTTTCTTTCTTTCTTTCTTTCTTTCTTTCTTTCTCTCTCTCTCTCTCTCTCTCTCGTTTTCTTTCTCTCTTTCTTTTGTTCATTGTTTTCTTTCTTGCTTACCATTCATTAGATGACTTCTAAGCCCATCTCACCCTAAAGTGAGTCTGAGTTCAGAGAAGTTTCACCCAAAATGATAGTCCACTTCTCAGTGATTACACAGGACAGGACATGGTAATTGCTGTTATATGACTGTTCCTGGGACTAAAAGTCTTTTAATTTTTAATTTTTCCTCTACTCTAAGTGTGATGGAAAAGTTATGACATTTACCCAAGTTTTCAAAGATCAAGAAAAATGAGACCTCAAAGAATTTACAGAGATAAAAATGGGAAAGAATCAAGTTGTTTTCTACTTGCACCCAGTTGGAATATCACTCCTTTAATATAAGAGTAATGCATAGAAAGGAGGTAATCCCTGCTGACAGGGCACTTACAGTTTTGTCAGTGAGGACTAGGAGCTAAATAATTGCAAACATTTCAACTCTACTATGTACATGGAACCATGAAATCTATGTAACTAGTAGATTTCATTCTAGATCAGTGTGCAAAAGCCAGTGTAGTGAATTGCCAACTTGTCAAATTTTCTTGTTTCTATAGCTAAATAAAGTTTGCTGAAGAGTATATTGAATAAAATGACTTTCACAGGTTTTGCAAATTTTCGTACGGTTTTAATTGACTGGTTTTTATTTGTCTTCATAACAATGTTTAAAGATTGTTTGATTAGTTTCTGCCCTAGCTTGCTGTTACTGCAGCTGGGGCACACTGAGAAAAGAGGGGGCTCTCATTGCTGGGGGCCTGGGGAGACTAGAGGACAGGATGCCCATCCTCCAGAGGGAATAATCAGGGGACAGAGAGATCACTCCCTTTCCACAACTGACTTTGACCCAATTAGCCTGTTCCCAGCCTGCATTGTATTTCCTCTGGATTCCTGCAGGTCTAATTGGCCTTCTGTCTGTCTGTTCCAATTGCCCGAGAAATTTTCCTCAAATGCAAATTTGCTTCCCTGCTTATAAAGTCCCTCAGTGGTTTCCTCAGGACCTGCCTCTTTATCCTCCACCACTCTCTAACTCTATCCTCCAGCCTTAAACATGCTGTTCTCTTGCTCACAGTCCTGCCTGGAGTGCCCATCCACCACTCCTTCTGCTGGCTGACTCCATCTCAGCACCCTTAGAACTCAGCCCAGATATCAGCATTTCCTAGAAATGTTCCTACACTTTCTATTAAGGCCAGTGGCTAGAACACTGTCCTAATGGCCTGCCCTGCCCATGTCTACCAGAGAAATTGTCCATCAGACTTCCTGCCTCTCTTCAGGTCGGTGTGCTCCTTAGGACAGGGACTTTTATTCCTCTGGTCCCATCCTTAGGCACTCCCCAGCCCAGAGCTGTGCTTGCTAACTCATTTATTGAATTCAATGATAAATGAGCTGATGATCTGTATTCCAAACTTCACACATACATTTCTCTTTCCTACAAAGTATCTCCCAAACAATGTCCTTTAGTTACCTTAGATTCAACAGGTCCCAAATCGAATTCATAATGCTCTACTTTAAGTTCATACCTATTTTGACTAATGGCATTACATTGCCTTACTATCACTCAACCTCAAAACTGAGAATTCCCCCTTAGCCTCTACATGGATAAATTATCCAGTGCTATTGCTTTTGCTTGCTTGAATGGCTACCCAAACCATTCCCATGCTCCACTCCTGCTGCCCTGCCCCTTCCTCCTATTTCCTGACCAGTGATCACCCAATTTGAAGCACAACCAACCCTGTCTGCCCATTAGTTGCTCGTGATTCCTTAAATACATCCTGTATCCTGTGTTTTGCTAATACCAGCCCTCTGCTAGCACCTGTCCTTCCTCATCTTGCTCAACTGTTACCACATGCATGAGGCCTTTTTAAATCCCAGTAAAAAGATTTATTCTCTTCCACTGTGGTTCTCCACGAAAATTCTGTCATATTTGTACCATTACTATATCACTTACCACAGTGTGCTTTGTACCCAGTTATTAATGTGTGTTTCTGCTGCCTCAATATCCAACCTTTGAAGACGGAGCCTCAAGGCTATGTTCATTTTAGAGAAGTTTGGCACACAGTAGTCATTTAAAAAATGCATTTATTAATAGAGTTAATCAATTTCATCCATCTGTTCATTCCATGAGACTAAATTTAGCTTTAAATTTTTTACTTCCTAATGTGACTGATGTGATTTTTTAAAGGCAGGATTTTACGTTTGCTTTAGGATAACAATAGCTCCCACTGATTTCATGCCTAGTACCTGCCAACCTTCTATGCATATAAACAAATCCTTGTAATAATCCTACACACTAGAAGATATCATTCCCACTTTACAGATGAGGAAACTTCACATTTCCCTGGGGTAAGTAACTTGCTCACGGCCGTTAACTCTAAGTGCCCAAGCTGGGACTAGAAGCCAGTATGCCTGATTCTAAACCCGCCAGACCACATCACCCTCACCTGTACTCTGGGGTAGGTGAGGCTGTTTTGTTCTTTTCCTTCACTTATTCATCTTTGAAAAGATTTTAGTTTGTTGTTACATTAATGTTTATTTTGTGTTTTCTAGTTCACTTTGACATCAGACCTCTCCGGAGAGAATCTGGTGGAGAAAAAGTGCTTAGCTGAAAAATACACACATCTCTCCTGCAATAAAGTCTTCTGCCAACCATGGCAGAAATGCATCGATGGGATCTGTATGTGTAAACTCCCTTATCAGTGCCCAAAGAATGGCACCATGGTGTGTTCAACTAACAGGAGAACCTACCCAACTTACTGTCAGCAAAAGAGTTTTGAATGTCTTCGTCCAGAGGCAAAGTTTTTAAATTCTGGAGAATGCACATCTGAAGGTGGGAAAGCCTCGTTTATTCCTCGATATAAGAAGGAAGTTGTATACCATACTTTCTTCAGAAAATATTTTTCCTATGAAATGTTATGCTGACAATTCAGAATTCCTCCATAGGTCCTCAGTAGTAATTGGGATAATAACCAAAGGAATTAGGGATCACCAGAATCTAGCTAGAACCCAGGAAAAAATATTTACATGAGCTTGGTACTGGTGCGGTCCCCACTCTGGAACTCCAGCCCCACTAATTTCTTCCCGCATCCATCCCCCAAGCCTCTACCCCTCCCTCTAGCCCCAACCCCACTGGCCCTGATCCAAGGGGAACTCAGGCCACTGCTGACCTATGACATACTCCAACCTAGCAAACTTGACACACCAGATCAGAGAGCTAATCTCCACTCCGTCCAGGTTCCCAATGTAGTGAGGAGGCTGGGACCTTAGAAGATGAAAAAGTGAAGGAAAGGAATGGTTAAGATTAGGGTTTTCACTGACAGATTCAACTGCAAGTCCCTCCCAGCCCCATCTTGTTTGTTGACAAGCTTTGTGACCTCTCTGGGTCCCAGGTTCCACATCTGTAAAATGTGAATAATAGTAGTTCCTAACTCCTAAGACTCGTGTGAAAATTAAATAAAATAAAGAATGCAAAGCTCTTCATACAGTGTTTGGCACACAGAAAGTGCTCATGAAATCTTAGCTCTTACAGCTAACCTCAAGCTCAGTGTCTTCTGATATCAGCTATCACAAGCACTTCATGAATTTACAGAGGAATGATTAAAACATTCTTTTTAAAGTCACCATGACTTACGCCAGCACACAGTATCCTAAATTTTTTTGTGATGCCACGTTAAGATGTTGAGGTACGGTGGGACAGAAGGAAGAAAGCTCTTTATTGGTGCCCATCTCAGCAGCCTGCAGGAGAGGAGGAAAGTAGCTGGGGAGATCGTTTTGTCAGTGTCACACTTTTATTCTCTTGAGGTGTTAAATGCCTTAAATATATGACAATACATAAACCTTTCTTACATTTTCATTATTTGTTTAGGTTACTTTTAAAAGCATGGACTTTGGAGTGAGATCAGTATAGCAGGTTCAGATTCCCAGACTCACCACCTGAGTGAGTACCTTAACCGCAATAAAAATGGAGGAATTTAGGTTCCTCATACGTAAAACTGGGCATAAGTATCGGTCTATCTTCATGGATCTGATGTGAGGATTTTATGATAATCTATATACCTGGGTAGCCAGCCACTGACACATAATGAGCCCTAATAAAGTAACTGCTTACCACTGTTTGTTAAAATCTTCTTAGCATTCCAAGTTAATTTGAAATTATGTATTTTACTATCTTAAAGGCTTGTAATCCAGAGAAGAAAAAAGAGAATACCTAAATATTGCTCATTCTTTTTGGTTTTTTATTTTAGGACAATTTACTGTTTCCTTGAAGTATGGAAATACAGAGTCTGAGGGAATTGTTGAAGTAAAACTTGTAGACCAAGATAAGAAAATGTTCATATGTAGAAAAAGCTGGAGCATGACTCAGGCCAACGTGGCCTGCCTTGACCTTGGATTTCAACAGTGAGTGTTTGTATCAGTGGATCTTCCCAGGGTTGATTTTATTGTTCCAACAATTTGTTTTTTGATTACACAATCTTTCTCTCCCTCAATTTTCTCATATATAACCGGAGGATATTAACTACCTGCCTCATGGCATTGCTGTGAGGATTAAATAAATTCATGTTTGATGAACTAGTACTGAGAACACTGCAGAGCACAGAGGACTTGTAAGTTTGTTAATGTATATGAATCCTGTGCTGATTCAGAGTTACGAATATGTCCATTACTATCTCTCTACTCATCTATAATTATGTCAACTTTTTCATACCTAATATTGTTTATCCATGCCTTCTCTCTTTTTTTACTGATCAAGCTTACAGAGATTTGTCTATCTGATAGTTTTTGATTTTTGTATTTGTAAATTGCTTCCTGTTCTTTATTTTCAACTTGATTAACTTTTACTGTTTTCTTTGGCTCTCTCTTTTCTTTATTGTATTTTTCCTAATTTCTTGAGTTAAGTGTTTAACTCATCAATATTTAACTTTTTTTATTTTCTAATATAAGCATTTAAGATATAAATTTCCCTCTAGGTAATGCTTCATTTGCATGCCATACCCTTAGTGACATAAAAAAAAAGTGGTGTTTTAGTTATTTTTCAGTTCAAAGTATTTTCTAATTTTCAATTTAATTTCTTTTTTAATAAATGTTGGTGAGGATGTAGAGAAAAGGGAACCCTCCTATATTGTTTATGGGAATATAAATTGGTTTAGCCACAGCCACTGTAGAAAGCAGTATGGAAGTCCCTCAAAAAACTAAAAATAGAAACACCATTCAAACCAGCAATTCCACTTCTAGGAATTTGCCTGAATAAAAAAACATCCCTAATCTGAAAAGATACATGTACCTGAATATTTATTGCTGCATTATTTACAAAAGCAAAGATATGGAAGCAAACTATGTGCCCATTAATAAATGAATGTATAAAGATGTGGTACATATGCATAATGGAATATTATTCAACCATAAAAAGAAAAGAAATCCTGCCATTTGCAACAACATGGATGGAACTAGAGGGTATTATGCTCAGTGAAGTAAGTCAGGCTGAGAAAGGCGAGTACCGTATGATTTCACTTATATGTGGATTATAAATACAAAGCAAACCAGAATGAATAAAATAGCATTAGACACAGAGAAGGGACTTGTGGTTACCATGGGTGAGAGGTTGGGGTGCATGGGTGGGGACAGTGAGGGAGCTAAAGGGACAGAAAAATTCTCAATCATACTGTAGGTTTGTCACAAGGATAGTAGTATGGCATGGAGAATATAGCCAGTGATTCTGTAACATCTTCCTATGTTGACAGATAGTAGCTGTACTAGATGGGGTATGGATTTAACAATATGGGTAACTGTTGAACCACTGGGTTGTATAGTTAAAATTAATGTAAGATTGTATATCAATAAAAATATATATATATATAATTTCTTCATTGATCCATACATAATTTAAATGTTTCATTTTTTACTTTCCTAATGAATAGTTTGTTTTTTGATTAACTTTCTGTTATCGGTTTCCTATCTAATTGTACGGCAGTCAGAGAACATCTCTATATGACAATTGTTTAAATATTTGTTGAGACTTGTGTTTTGCTACTGAGTATATTTGAAATGCTTCATGTGCAGGGCCCTATATAGTAGATATGATGTCTGTTAGAATCAGCAAGATTGTTAACTGCTTTTTCCATTTATTTGTGTTTGGAGGTTTTCATGTCCTTATCTTCTAAGTGTCCCTTATAAACAGCATTTATCTAGATATTCTTTAAAAATCCAATATGACAATAACTGTGTGAAGAGTTTACTCCATTTCATTATTATGATTATTTACATTGTGGAATCTATTTTTCCTATCTTATTTTGGGCCTATTGTTTACCCTGCTTTTTCTGTGTTTTGTTTCTTCCTTTTCTAACTTCTATTACATACTTTTTTTTCATTTTTTTGAGAGGTATCATTAATACACACTTACATGAACAACATTGTGGTTACTAGATACCCCATTATCAAGTCCCAACCACATACCCCATTACAGTCACTGTCCATCAGCATAGTAAGATGCTATAGAGCCACTACTTATCTTCTCTCAGCTATACTGCCTTCCCATGCCCCCCAACTACATAAAGTGTGCTAATCATAATGCCCCTTTCCCCCTTATTCCTCCTTTCACACTCATCCTCCCCAGTCCCTTTCCCTTTGGTAACTGTTAGTCTATTCTTGGGTTCTGTGAGTCTGCTGCTGTTTTGTTCCTTCAGTTTTTTCTTTGTACTTATACTCCACAGATGAGTGAAATCATTTGATACGTGTCTTTCTCTGCCTGGCTTATTTCACTGAGCATAATACTCTCTAGCTCCATCCATGTTGTTGCAAATGGTAGGGTTTGTTTTCTTCTATTGGCTAAATAATATTCCATTGTGTATATGTACCACCTCTTCTTTATCCATTCATCTACTGATGGACACTTAAGTTGCTTCCATTTCTTGGCTATTGTAAATAGTGCTGTGATAAACATAGGGGTGCATATGTCTTTTTCAAACTGGGCTCCTGCATTCTTAGGGTAAATTCCTAGGAGTGGAATTCCTGGGTCAAATGGTATTTCTATTTTGAGCATTTTGAGGAACCTCCATACTGCTTTCCACAAAGGTTGAACTAATTTACTTCCCACCAGCAGTGTAGATGGGTTCCCGTTTCTCCACATCCTTCCCAACATTTGTTGTTATTTGTCTTTTGGATGCTGGCCATCTCAACTGGTGTAAGGTGATTTCTCACTGTGGTTTTAATTTGCGTTTCTCTGATGATTAGCAATGTGGAGCATCTTTTCATGTGTCTGTTGTCCATCTGAATTTCTTCTTTGGAGAAGTGTTTGTTTAGCTCCTCTGCCCATTTTTAAATTGGGTTATTTTCTTTTTGTTTGTTGAGGTGCATGAGTTCTTTGTATATTTTGGATGTCAACCCCTTATTGGATATGTCATTTATGAATATATTCTCCCATACTGTAGGATGCCTTTTTGTTCTACTGATGGTGTCCTTTGCTGTACAGAAGTTTTTTAGTTTGATGTAGTCTGACTTGTTCATTTTTGCTTTTGTTTCCCTTGCCCTTGGAGATATGTTCATGAAGAAGTTCTTCATGTTTACATTCAAGAGAGTTTTGCCTATATTTTCTTCGAAGAGTTTTATGGTTTCATGACTTACATTCAGGTCTTTGATCAATTTTGAGTTTACTTTTGTATACGGAGTTAGACAGTAATCCAGTTTTATTTTCTTACATGTAGATGTCCAGTTTTGCCAACACGAGCTATTGAAGAGGCTGTCATTTCCTGATTGTATGTCCATAGCTCCTTTATCATATATTAATTGGCCATATATGCTTGGGTTAATATCTGGACTCTCTATTCTGGTCTACTGGTCTATGGGTCTGTTCTTGTGTCAGTAGCAAATTGTCTTGATTACTGGGGCTTTGTAGTAGAGCTTGAC